GGCGGGCAGCGAGGGGGGCGGCGGTGCGCGCGGGCCGCGTGCGGGGCTAGGGAAGCGCGCGGGCCGGGGCCGGGGCCGGGCCGGCCCTTGCCGCGTTGGGACGGGGAGCGCCCGAGTCGCCGCGGCTTGCTCCCCGCGGCCGCGCCTCACGCTTGCCCGCCTCTCTCCCCAGCAGAAGAAGCGCTCTTCCAGCGATGGGCGTCTCAGGTAAGCCCCGCGGCTCCTCCCGCACCTGCCCGCAGCGGCGGCGGCGGCGGCGGCTTCCCCCCTCCCCGCGCGCTCGGGGGCGGCCGTCCTCTGCCTCCCCTGGCGGGGCTCAAGCGGCTTCCCAGGCGGAGCTGGAGGGGCGGATGAAGGGACGCGGTTCTTTCCAGGCCGGCTCTCAGTCCTGCCAGTGCCAGGTGCTCGGCTCCTCTGTGGGGCGACCCCGGGGGGCTAATTTTGGCTTCCCCCGGAGGCAGAAAGTGCTGCAGTGCACGCAGCTTTAAATCAGCAAGAAGGCCAACTGCCCCCGTGGAAATCCGCGTTTTATTTAGCATAGAAGCACCAGAAGCACCAGAGAAGCCAGCAACGGGCACCTTGGTTATCCAGAAACAGCACTTCCCTTTCCTTTCGAAGCACTTGCCCTTGGGGGGGGGGGTCCCTTCTTTGCTTCCCTGCCCCATGCGAATGGGTCTGCAGGACGTCTGGGGCACTGCAGCACCCCAGTGAGCTGGTCATCGGCACTGTGATGGTGAGCCTTTGTTTTGGGTGAGGGGTGGTCAAAGACATCCTGTACCCCCCCCCCAGGGGTGTGCAGTTCATGTTGAGCAATGTGAAGTGCATTCACAGAGCCATGATTCTGTCCTGGGCACTTGCTAGTCCCGTTTCCAGGACCAAACTGCGCAGCTGAAACGGACAGCTGAGATGAGGGGAATTCAGAAGCATTTCCAGCTACATGACAATTTAGGTTACTGTGTGGGAGGGTAATTTCCCAGTCAAAATAGGCCATGGTGAAGTTTCACTTGTGTGCGCCGCAGCTGCAGCTTCTTCCTCTTCTCCACAGTACAAAAAGCCATACAGCCCTGAAGACAAAGAGTACCACCGGCGGTTTCAGATATTCATGAGCAATAAGCAGCGAATCGATAAGCACAATGCTGGCAACCACACCTTCCAAAGTAGGGACGCTGCTTCTGAGATACTCGCGTTTTTCCCCATTTCCTTTTTGGAGAAAGGAAAAAAATGAAATGTTATCTGAGTGTGCCTCATCTCGAGTCCTCTCCCTTCTTTCAGTGGGTCTGAACCAGTTTTCAGACATGACGTTCTCGGAATTCAGACAAAAATACCTGTGGCATGAACCGCAGGTAAGGGCATCTGTGTAGGTGAGGGTGCTCTGAGCGATTCATGGGTGTTGCCTCAAGTCTGGTTTGGGAGCGACTCTGGGCAAGGAGGCAGCTGTGGGGCATCCCAGGTCCCTGACCTGTGCAGGGAGGTGGAAGGAAATGCAGCCGGCCTCCCTGCTCCCTCCTGCTGGGCCAAGACGTGGCTGCTTCCAGGCTGAGCCCACTTGGCAAAACCCCTCAGGCCCAGTCCCCTCCGGGGCACACATTCCTGGGCCGTGTGGGGGGAGGGGGGTGCCTGTCTTCCTCCAGCTCAGCTGCTGACCAAGGGGGGCTGCCCTTTCCTTTCAGAACTGCTCAGCCACCCAGGGCAACTTCTTCCGCAGCCCTCAGCCATATCCGAGGGCTATAGACTGGAGGAAGAAAGGAAATTATGTGACGCCAGTGAAAAATCAGGTAAAGGACGGGCTTGGTAAGTCGGTGAGGTGGGATGAACCTTCCGCTTTGCTCGTAGCGTCTCCACCGTTTGCTTCCTTGGGGATCTTGCCGAAGGGGGGATGGAAGTTTGAAGGTTCTCCCTTTGGGAGGGTGTGAGCTGCTGTCGTCACGTTATGCCCACCCCCCTTACTTCTGCCCACCCCAGGGTCCCTGTGGCAGCTGTTGGACCTTCTCCACCACTGGCTGCTTGGAGTCTGCCATTGCCATAGCAACAGGAAAACTTTTAAATCTGGTAAGGCCTCTCTTTGGAACGCCACCCTTCTGAATCCTTGATTTCAGTTATTGATTTGACACCTTTTTAAAAGCCTCTCCCTCACTGAGCACTCAAGGTGATTTACAGTAAAATAGTAAAAGAATAATAAAAAACAACAACTTCAGCAAAAAAGCTACCTAAACTAAACTGAGAAAATGCATTGCAATAAAATATAGAAACCTCCTGAAATCAAAGAGCCGCTTTACTTGCCTGGGGGAGCAGTATTGTTTTCACCGGCCGTCCTGAGGCCAGTAACTGGGGAATCCACCTCGTGTCCCAGGCAAGAGAGTTCCCCAGTCCGGGGCCCGCTACACCCTGGGTTTGTCTGAGGCCCCTGCCAGACCTTCCTCTCTGGGAAGGGAGGCACCCAATGGGGCCTTGGAGGGCGAATGCCGGCCCCGCGCAGCCTCGTGCAGGAGAACGTTGTCCTTCGGGCACTTGAAATGCCGTTGAGCCACACCTGCTGGGGTAAGCAGCAGCAGCTCCCTCCTTTGGGGGCAGGAGGGGACAGCGCATGCACATCGCTGGGCAGAGAGTGGGCTGAGGGATTAGACTGCTAGGAAAGGGCCCGGGCCCGCCAGCCAGGCAAATGCCTGCCTGTCACCGCAACTCCCGGCCAGACGGCTTCTTGGCTGACTGGGGACCAGCACTCGGATCCCCAGTCCCCCCAGACTGGCTCCGCTTTCGACTGAAACAGGCAGCAAGCACCCCTCCTGAGATGCTGAGCTGATCGGAGGCAAGTGGCGGGGGATGGACTCTGGCCTTGTAGGGTGCCTCCTCAGCTGGGGGGCGATGTCAAGCTGGGAGGACGCTCCCCAGTGCATGGCTGGGACCAAGCGCCTTCTGCTTTCCGCAGGCCGAGCAGCAACTGGTGGACTGTGCTCAGGACTTCAACAACCACGGATGCAGTGGGTAAGCCGTGCCGGGGGCTCCTGGACCACCTCCGCGTTGCTCTCTGCACTCATAACACGTTCCTAACAGCCCGAAGGCCATCGCATCTCCTTTGCGTATTCTCATTTCCTGTTGCAAAAGGCAGGCAGAAAGCCAGCCAGTCACTTGCTGTTTTGTTTCCCCTGCGCAGGGGCCTCCCCAGCCAAGCATTTGAATACATCCTGTACAACAGAGGGCTCATGGGTGAGGACACCTACCCTTACCTTGCAAAGGTAAGGCTGCTGGGATGAGGGAAGATGGGGCAGGCTCCCTCCATCACTTTCGCTCTGACGGGGTCATCCTTGTCTCACATCCAGAACGGCACGTGCAGGTTTGATCCCCATAAGGCCATCGCGTTTGTCAAGCAAGTCGTCAACATTACGCTGGTGAGCGGCTGCTTCTCTCTGGCCCATGGGTGGGTGTGCCTTCCTGCCAAGGATTCCTTCCCCTGGCTCCAGAGCCAGCAACACGGCTTCCGGGGGCTTGGCTGCTTGCGCAGCTCCTCACACTGAGCCGGCCTCTGCTCCGACTCTGCTCAGCTGCAACAGGATGTTCCAAGGGCCCGGCCTTCCGCCAGCGCACAGGGCTTTCCTTTGTGGTGTATTCCCACCGCACCTGTGCCCCACCTCAGGCCCTCCTCGCCCTTCCCGCCACTCTGCTCCCTCCTCCAGGTGCGCTCAGCTGCTGCGCTTGCAGCAAGCGCCTGCTTCCGAGCTCAGGAGCCGGATCTCCTCCTCCTCCTCCTGCAATGTGTGGAAGGCAGAGGCATGTGCCCACATCGGTCTTCTTTTCACAGGAGGCACTGCCCCTCTGCTGGAATCGCTCTCCTTGGGAAGAGGCAGTGGAGTGTTCCAATCTCAGCCGTGCGGGCCCTGCTACTCCGCACATGCTCAGAGTGCACTCCTTTTTTGGCCCCGACAAACAGGTTCTGGCTCTACCTTCGGCAGAGACCAACCCACACCTCCTTGCCTACTAACGTCTGGGATTTTCTCCTCCTAGTATGATGAGCTGGGCCTGGAGGAAGCCGTGGGGAGGTACAATCCAGTGAGCTTTGCCTTTGATGTGACAGATGACTTCATGCACTATCAAAAGGGGGTTTACTCCAGGTGAGAGCATCTGGAGGCGGGACAAACGCCAGGCCATTCGGGCATGCGGGAGGGCCGAGCTGCCCATCCCGCACGTTTCAGGCGGGGAAGCACTTGTGGGTCGCTCCTGGGATGGCCCATGGAGTTGTGGGGAGGCCTCTCACATTCCTCTGCACACAGCCGATCAGCGGGCGTGGGAAGGGCGAGCGTGGAGTACCGCTGCAAATTGCTTATAAAAATGCTGGGTTGGCAACCTTGCTGGAGCAAGCACAGGTGAAAACCACTCCCCACTCATGGTGGGGAGTGGAAAGTCATTTTTCCACCACTAGTAGTGTCTCTGAACCCACAGTACTCCCTAGATCTTAGGGGGTGGGGCAGTTAAAGTGCCAATCCCTGCACACAGGGAGTATGTGTAAGCACACAAAGACCCTTTCAGGGGGAAAAGGTCCAGCCCTTCTGTTTAGAGCAAGGAAAGAACAGGGTATATTCAGGAAATTAACCTGGTTTAGTTAAATCATTCCCCCTTTCTTTAGCCAGTGGTTAATCAATCAAGATTGATCAATGGGGAAGGATAGGCTCGCATCTTACTGTGCATACTCATTTGCTGTTTTCTTTCCAAAGCACACAGTGTGGTAAAACTCCAGACAAAGTGAATCATGCTGTCCTCGCCGTAGGCTATGGAGAGGAGATGGGCCTTCCCTACTGGATTGTCAAGAACTCCTGGGGTCCCGACTGGGGCATGGACGGGTACAGTATTCCTCTTCAGTCTCCGCGTTTAGTAATTTGGGAGCCTTTGTTTGTGCTGTGGTACCACCTAATGGCTTGTTTCAGGGCTGCAGCTACAGAAAGAATGTGCTGGATGGGACTTCCAGGCTAGAAATATTCAAGATTTATTAGTAGTCATCATGAAATACTCTCTTCCCCTGCCACCCAAAAAAAGTGACTTCAATTTTTGTGTGTGCGTTAGGTGGAATATCAGCCTGCCTGCTGGGCTTTGGAGTAAGAGGGTCCTGGGGCTAGTTGCCTCAAGTGTGGTGCTTTGCGGCCTTAAACTTGCTTCGTTGTGGGTGGGGTGGATCAAGCTCATTTTCTCTGTGGCCACCTAGCAGAGGGTATGACTGGCCCACACGTCAGAAAGCATGATGTTCCAGGATTGGCACGCACTTCACCTGTCAACAGGCAACTCCCATCGCTCAAAATCTCAACTTCTTCTTTTAGGTACTTTTATATTGAACGTGGAAAGAACATGTGCGGCCTGGCTGCCTGTGCATCATATCCCGTCCCCCTTGTCTGAAGCAGGACTAGATTTTCCGTATCGGAGAGCTGGTATTGCTGCGTCCAGAAAGAGAGGTCCAAGAAGCATCATTCCTCCTCGGCACTCTTTGATCTTGAGGAGCTGTTCATTTGGACACGCACTTCTTCCGCAGCCGTGGCAGGTCCTGCGTGGTGGTCCGGTCAAGAGCAGCTGTGCCTTCCCAGCTCCTCCTGTGCCCTGCTTTTCAAACTTAATAAAATCATGCCCTGTTCGTTGAGTACGTTAATATTCCGGTGCACATGCCTTGCTGCTGTTTGCGGGCACCGTGTCTTTCTTTGCAAAACCTGGCAGCTCCAGACTAACCCTGTTACTGTGGCATAAGCTTATAAGCCAGTCCCCAGCCCAGCGGTTGCCTAAAGTTTGCCCCTCACTTTTGGAGGGGGTTGTAAGCACAGGGAAACGAGATGCAAACAGTGCAGCTAGTGGGAATTCAGCTGAAGCTCGGCTGCATGTGGAACTGGCAGCTTGGTTATCTGTGCAGCAGGAAAAGGAACGAAAACGCCCGGGCTTCCTTCACGGCGCGCTGGCCCTCCCGCCCGCCCGCCCGCCCGCTCGCTCGCTCGCTCGCTCGCTCGCTCGCTGCGTCCGAGGCCTGGCGGGACCGCTCGGCGGAGCTCTGCGTCGGAGTCCCGGCCTCGCGCAGCCCGTGCGCCGCGGCAACCGGCTACCCCGGCGCGCCCTCGGCGGGCGCCTCACGGAAGGGCGGCGGGGCCGAGGCCGCCCGGCGCGCGCGCGCAGAGCCGGCGGGGCGGGGCCTCCCTTCGGGTGCCGTGCGTCACTTCCGCCGCGTCCGCGCGGGTGGGGCGTCCTGCGGCCAATGGAGTCGCGGGCCGCGCCGGCGCCAAGTGCGAAGAGCGCGGGAGCCGCGCGGGCCGGAGGGCGCGGCGGCGGCGGCGAGGGT